CCCCCAACCATTGCAAATCCGGCACCGATCCGGACTCTGACCTTTTCCTTTCGATTTCCCTTTCTTTCCACCTCCTTTGTATTTGCCTTTGGACTTTCCTTTCGACTTGCTCTTTCCTTTGCTCTTGCCTTTTGATTTTCCACCACCTTTCCAACCAGCAGAGAGCCACTGACTGAACCAACTGCCTTTCTGCTTACCTTTTTGCTTTCCTTTGCCTTTCTCATAGCCCTTGCCCTTGGTGACTGCATCAACCTCCATAGGAACTGGACCTGAATCTCCCTTCGACGAACTTGACACCTGCTTGCCAACTGTCTTGAGGACGTCATTCACGTTCCACATTCGACTGCTCCTTTCATAAGCAAAAATCCGCTCTTTCACCTCTTGATATGACGAAGAATCTGAAATCGCCAATGTGAGATGCTGTCGAATGTTGTCTGGACACAACCGTAGTAAAACTCCCAACAAAACATCTCTGTCGAAAGCTTTGGAACTGAGTGAATCATACTGTTGAACCAATGTCTCCATGCCGCTCACATGCTCTTGCAAAGTCTTGTCACCACCTGGAACAAACTGAGGAAAAGACGAAATCGCCTGGCTCAGGGACAACGCCCTTTGACGGGTTGCTGGAGCATAGTAATCAACCAGTTTCTTCCACAACACGAACCCGTTTCGATTCTCAGCTTCTGATCTGGATAGGTGCAATGCAGAGCCACGTAGGTAGCTAGTGAGTATACTGTATAGTTTCCTTGCTAGGTCCCAATCTTGATCTGACCAATCTGCTGTTTCAACTGCATCTGAAGGCGTCAACTTTTCAATGTCCTGTATCGATGCTAGAAACCTGCCATCAGCATAGCTCAACCAATTCAAGAAACTGTGTCGCCACATGTTCCAAGTTGTCTCGGATGTAGGATCAAATTGTTCTGGGGATTTCAAGATCCGAGCTGCCGACTCCAAACCTTTGGCTGTTGTCGATGAAGAGCTTGCTGAAAGGGACTCTGTAATACCACGTACAATGACATCTTGCTTTTGCAACAATGTACCAAATCCTGTCATGAATTGCCTGAACTGGTCACCATCCATTGCATTGCAACTGTACCCGCAACTCATCAAAATGAGGAAACTCAATCCACGAAATTGAAGTTTCTTCTTCTTCAGACCTGATGTTCTCTTCTTCAGCTGGACACCTAGTTTTCGTTTCCTCAGGCTCAAGCGCATTCGAAGCGTGCAAGTTGAAAGGACTGTGAACAAAGAAACCAAGAGAACTGCATACCAGCTGTTGAACTCCTGTCGGATGCACGAAGCAAGCACAACACTAAGCCAACGTTCCACATGGGCTCCCCACAATGCCACATTTGTCCAATGCACCACTGTCAATGCTGCAAGTACTGCGTGGTATTCAATGCACAATGTTGTATCAATCCACCAAATCTGTATTTGTTCAACGAATAGCTCAAAATCTTCGGAAAGTGCAAAGAATCTCAGAAAAATGAATTCTAACACACAGCAGCAAATCAAGGTTCGAACCGTGAATCATCATCTCCATGCGCGCCCGGGGATTCCGCTAAGCGTCACGATAGCGCTATTGCCCTTTCAGCACCTCCCCCGGGGCTTTGCCCGGGATCTTCAGTGCTCCGCTACCATGTTTGGTAGCACGCCTGTTTTGATCCACGCGCTTCGGTAGCGGAGTAGTTTTCAACTAGCAAACAGTGCATCAACTTGACTGTACATGTCTGTACCTAAACCATCAAAAAGGTTAACAGTTTCACACACATGCCTCCCCACAAGGGGAGGCGCAGAAGAACTACTGTGCATGCGCGCGTGCAAAACAGACAAACGGATGAGGACATGACAGGAGGACAACACAGACCGGGTGCATGTGATTGCAATGAAAGGAAAACCAAGTGACCAGGGACCTCCCATGAACCCAACCTCCTTATAAAGACCTGGCCGACCCCAAACCTGGGTTTCAGATGCAAGTGTGCGCGCGCACTATAAGGACCGGACCAATGTGTGCACAAGAGAGAAGGACTGAGGTGCCAAGACACGAAGACAGAAGGACATGAAAAAAATGTATGTGAAGGAGAAAAATGAAAGGGAAACCAAATGGAGGGGCCAGAAACCGGTGAAACCAATCCTCATTAAAGCGACCTAGGAAGACCTAGTCTAGTTTGGCATGTACGCGCTTCGTGTGCCTCAATTGGCTTTTAAAATGCTCTGACCGCTCTGGTCACCTTGCGCCATGCCAAAATGGCGACTTGAGTCCGCTGTGGACACGTTATGGCACGCTCGAAAGCGACCTACTTGGGCGCAATAATCCATCAGGTCTAAGCCTCCGGCTGTCCGCTGCGGACACCTCCGGCCACAGACAGCACTCTTCGGGCTCACCCTGGGCTGGCATTAAGCCAGACACATTCGAGATATTGCGTACGGGCACGATGGGCGGTTTGCCGCAGGCCGGCCTAAATAAAGACCTAAGGCGGCAGGGTAGACAAAAGTAGGTTGGAGGCCATTACATCTAGGTTAGAGGCCAACACAAGGAGGTTATAGGTGGCCATCACAAGTCATCGCTAGTGGGTTGGTGACACGCAGCTGCAAAACATAAGGTTGGAGGGAATCACTAGTGGGTGGGGCCATCATCACAAGGTTGGAGGCCCACGCTACCGGTTTGGAGGCCCGCAAGAAACAAAACAGCAAACACAAATTAAACGAAAAACAAAAACCAAAACACAATTCAAGATGCATGCTGAACAAAACTGTCTATGTCCACCCCAACTCCGTAGACTGAATAGGAATGCATCCAGTCAAAGAGAGCGGACGCGCCGGCCCTAAGGGCAACCGGCATGGAAACTATTAGAGAAGGAACACACACTAGAACAGCCATGACATCTAGGTTGGAGGCCATCACAAGGTGAAAGGCCATCGCAAGCAGGTTGGGTGGCCATCGCTAGTAGGTTGGTTGCAACAACGCAAAACATTCAAGGTTGGAGGCCATCGCCGGTAGGTAGAGGCCATCGCAACAAGGTTGGAGGCCCGCGCTACAGGTTGGGAGGCCCACAAGACACATAGCTGCAAACACAAATTAAACAAAGTAAAACCAAAACAGGAACCAAATACAAAACAAATTATTCCAGTGTCTCCAAGGATTGCCCTGTAACTCCAAGGGTTTCACACACTTGAGAGATCAAAATCAAAGGTTCCCTGTGACCCCAAGGGCTTCACAGACACACACTGGGGAATGGTTTAGGATTGTGGAACGATAGGATGATGGCAAACTCCAGAACCTCCTAAGTAGGCCTTGAAGCTCAGAAACGCAGGTTGGAGTCAAATGTGTGTGAACGACGCCGTCGATCATGTCGATCACGCAGTATGTTTGAAGCAAACTGACTTGTCAAGAAATCAACAGCAAAGAAGATTGTGGTGTTATCACCCAGCAGGTACACCAGGCGGATCAGACCCGGCTTCCACCATCACGCATAGCTTCGTTGGCATGCGTTTGCGTGATGGCCGCACGCCCCCTGCTCTCAAAATTCTCAATTCCGATAGTTCGACACCCGCATGTTAGAGCGGCTTACACACACACAGGGCCCTCCCTACGGAGGGCTCAGACTTCAGATCTGAGAAAAGTTTTAAGGTCGGGACAACCTGAAATGTGAGTCAATTTGCAGCACGGCACCACTGTAAAGCCTAGAAAGAGGGGAGTCCTCGTACCTAACCAGGTGGTTTTTGACAGAATAGAATAGGTTCCTAGCGCCCATCACATCAAAGGCACAAACCTCGAATGTCTGAGAAAAGTTTTAAGGCCGGGACAACCTGAAATGATGAGTGAATTTGCAGTACGGCAACACTGTGAAACCTAGAAGGAGGGGAGTCCTTGTACCTAACCGGGTGGTTTTGACGGCATAGAATGGGAGAATGGGTTCCTTGCGCCCAGCACATCAATTGCACAAACTTCGCATGTCTGAGCAGACCCCAGATGGTGCCCCCCGAAGGGATTGCATTTTCGACCTCAAGCCTGATGGATAAACTTCTGGTTTGCTTCTGCAATGCGAGACTGCCAACCTTCATTACCTAAAGCCTGATGAAAAGACCTCTGGTTCTCTTCCAAATGCATGATACCTGAAGCCTGAAGAAAAGACTTCTGGTTTTCTTTCAAGTCAGTAGAAAGCCTGAGAGTCGGACACATAGTGCGATCCACTTATTCGGATCAACTTCGCAGTGCAACTTTGCGCTGTGGCAGCTTCTGCCGCTTTGCAACTGCGCATGATTGCAGCTACTAACAGTCTATCGTGAGACTGTGTCTTTTGCATGATAGCAGCTAGTCAACACCACTGCGGTGTTCAGGAACCAGGCACCTCTTCAGGCACGCAGCCCATCCAAGTGAGGCTTCCATGGGAAGGCCCGTACCACCAATATAGAGTCCCCGTCGAACCTCGACGGTGTCGCCAGATCTGGCAGCGCCCTCTACACACTGGAGAACGGTTTAGGATTGTGGAGCGATAGGATGATGGCAAACCCCAGAACCTCCTAAGTAGGTGGGCTTGAAGCTCAGAAACACAGGTCAAATGTGAGTGAACGACACCATCGATCATGTCGATCATGCAGTATGTTTGAAGCAAACTGACTTGTCAAGAAATCAACAGCAAAGAAGATTGTGGTGTTATCACCCAGCAGGTACACCAGGCGGATCAGACCCGGCTTCCACCATCACGCATAGCTTCGTTGGCATGCGTTTGCGTGATGGCCGCACGCCCCCTGCTCTCAAAATTCTCAATTCCGATAGTTCGACACCCGCATGTTAGAACGGCTTACACACACACACACAAACAAAAATAACTCGATTGGTTGTGGTTTTAAGTGGGTTCTTGTCCATGCTGTTCTTCACATATTCAGAGAGGACTTGGCGGCTTTGCAACTAGCATAGGGTGTTCATTGTTCAGAGGTCCGCCCTCATTGCGTTGGTGAATCTCAACCTCCGCTGCTTCCCGTTTCGCCCCAGCGGCAGAGATCTTGCCACCAAAGCCCGTGGCCCCGAAGCCGGTGGTGCCCTGCGCCATGGAGACCCCGCTGCTTGGCAGCTCCCGGAGGAAAAGCCTCAAAAGACTAAGCAGCTTGAAAGAATCAATTCCTAAGCATTTCTGAAACCAATCTGTCTTGATGCCCACTTCGCAGTTGGGCTGCACCCACAGAAGTCACCTGTGAAAACAATACACCTCACATCGAAAGGCAGTATATGCTGTATCGAGATCTGGATTGATTCGCAATGGAGTGAAAGGTGTGAATGCGGTCCAGGCCACGCAATGGCTTTCTTGTCGTTGTGTTTCCTTGGCCGAAACCACCCCGCACAATGCTTCTCGATTTTGCTTTGGTGTTGAGTTTAGATTTGAATATTATAGATTTTATGTCTCATCAACCCCACTTGAAGGCCTACTTGTGTTCTCTCACTCCAAACAGTATGGCAACCAAAACTGGACCACCTACAGTATCTTGAGACAAAATATATCCCTGGAAATCCTTCCAAATCCAAAATACCTGGTCGACCAAGAAGCAACGGCCACTCGAACAAACCTTCACTTACTCCATCAACAACCATCCTGCTTCCTGAGGCCGAGCCACAAGCCAATCTTCCCCACCACCTCCAAAGTTTGGGATGGAACCTTGCCTATTCGATTCTACAGGGTGCATTTAACAAACTGAATAGTTTGAGTTGCCCGACGAGTTGTGTGCGTATAAAGTGTTGAAGTTTGAAGTTCACAGGTCAATTTTTCTGTTGTATTCCCCCTCAGGTCGGCGCTCACACTCTGCCCGCAAAGCAGAAACAGAATTGTAGAATAAAGGCTTAGGGGGTTCACCTTCACATTCATAGCGCGTTTGGTGAATTCAGCCAGAATTCCAGAATTGATCTGAATATGTCCATACTGATCCTGCCCTACATGTTTGGAGCCTAGAACCGTTTTTGACCTGAAACCCTTGCCTGCGGCGAAAAAAACAAACTGTGGGCGCAAAGTCGCAAAGCCAAACCAGAAGCAAAGCTGCCAAGTGGCGATAGATGGCGATAGCTTCCAGCTTTTGCTTGTAAATTGACACTTGGGACACTCGTTCGCTTCTTTTTCCCGAATGCGTAGCGAAGGGTTCCCGTTTATAGTTGGGGGTCTGGGGGTTGGAGCTGTGTTTGCTTGGCTTGCGTCGTCTCGTCGTCTGTCGTCGTCTGTCGTCGTCTCTCGTCGTCTCTCGTCGTCTGTCGTCGTCTCTCGTCGTTTGTCGTTGTCGTCGCGTCTCAAATTCGCTGCCATTGGGGGAAGCTTTTGCAAGTGACTTTGCATGGAGGTGTCACGTGTCAGTTTGCGCCGCTATTCCATTGTGATTTGCATGACAATGACATGTCGTGCAAGAAACGTGACGCATTTCGCTGCACAGGCGCAGCGTTTTGTGAGATCCGCAGATTGCTGCGCAGTTCCAGTGGGATTAGCGTTTGGAGAGTCGTGTTTTTGGGGTGTTGGATGTGGCCGTGCCATTGGGATTTGCGTTTCAGGGTGTGGCATCGAAGCTCGGTTTTCGTGACAAGTCTCAGCTGAAATGGCGATTTTGGTGGATGGGAGTGTGCTCAGAACGGGTCGAAATCATTCCAAACGTGTGGTGTGGTGCAAATTTTGTTGAAGCTCACATGACATAGTATTGTCACTTTTCGCGGCAGGCGCAGGACTTTGTGCGAGTTTTGAGGCGTGGAAGTGCGATTCTTGTGGCAGGCGCAGGGAATCGTGAGGTTGCGAGGTGTGACGGAGGTGACATTTCGTGGCAGGCGCAGTACTTTGTGCGCGTTAGACGTGTGGACGCGGAAAGATTTGTGGCAGGTGCAGGGAATCGTGAGGTTGTGAGTTGTGGTAGAGGTGAATGTCGCTGTCACATTGGGATTGGCGTGTGGGCGGATGTTGTTTGGAGGGGCTGTAATCGCGAAACTGCTTGGCAGGGCTGCGTGATGTGTGCGTGCTCCGATGGGTGTTTCCGCTTGACTTTTGGAGGAAGTCTCGTACGAAACGCTCGTTTTTACGAAACGCTCGTTTTGGAGACTTGACGTGTGACTTTTTGAGGAAGTCTCGTACGAAACGCTCGTTTTGGAGACTTGACGTGTGACTTTTGGAGGAAGTCTCGTACGAAATGCTCGTTTTTGAGACTTGACGCATGACTTTTGGAGGAAATCTCGTACGAAACGCTCGTCTTGCAGCCTCGCAGCGGGACTTTTGGAGGAAGTCTCGTACGAAGAGTGCGCCCTACAAGAGTGTCCCACAAAAGTGTCCTACAAGAGTGTCCCACAAGAGTGTCCTACATCCCACAAGAGTGTCTTAGAAGAGTGTCCCCTAAGTGTCCCACAAGAGTGTCCCGTATGAGTGTCGCACAAGAGTGTCCCACAAGAGTGTCCCGCAACAGTGTCCCACAAGAGTGTCTCACAAGAGTGTCCCTTAAGAGTGTCCCACAAGAGTGTCCTATAAGAGTGTCCCACAAGAGTTTCCTACAAGAGTGTCCCACAAGAGAGTGCCACAAGAGTGTCCAAAAAGAGTGTCCCGTAAGAGTGTCTCACAAGAGTGTCCCACAAGAGTGTCCTATAGAGAGTGTCCCACAAGAGTGTCCCGCAAGAGTGCCCTACAAGAGTGTC